CGCTAAGTCAAACTGGTTAGGGCTAAATATTCTCTTCTTAATGTGAACTCCATAGCACAGTTCCCAGCCAAAAGCAACACACACAAAAATACATGAAAATAATACACAGGGGTACTCTACAGTGAACATGAGTATGTACAAATATATGGCAAATACTTATTGACTAAAAGAATAGTGAATTTCAAGTGCAATTGTACAATTAAAAAAGAATATATGTGGGTAGGGCCTATTCATTCAATACCTGTTAGGGTACATTACTGGGCTGCAGGTTCGCTCCCTGGTCGGAACGCATGGGAAAGCAATGTTTCTATCTCACATTGACGTCTCTCTCTACTACTCTCTCTCTCCCTTCCTCATTCTAAAAAACCAATTTTTTTTTTTAAAAAATGTATCTCACATTGATGTTTCTCTCTACTACTCTCTCTCCCTTCCTCATTCTAAAAAACCAGTTTTGTGTTTTTTTAAAAAAATGTATGAATGGTGAATTCTGAACAACTGTAAAGCTTACACCCAACATCAAGGGAAGTGAAGCAGTCCTGGCGGTTTTGATGCTATTCTTGGACTGGGAGGGCAAAGATTGAGAAAAATAAACTAAAATATTCTCTTTTTTTAAAAAAAAAAATATTTTTTAAACTTTATTGCTCAGCTTGGGTGCTTACTGTTATCTTATATTCACACAAATATGATTTCTTTCCTTCCAGTGCAGTTTCCAAGCTACTCTGCAAGTATTTGTTAAAATTCAAAAGCTTGTTTTAATAGACAATTATACAGTATCTATCCAGCGTACGTTCACATGGTATTATTGTAGGGATATGAGGCAACATGAAGGTTTTCCTACATTGTTTACATACAATACATTTCTCTACTTTTGAGTTTTTTTTCATGGCCTTTCCAAGGAAAAGGGACAGCTGAGGGCTTTTGCATATTCTCTGTATATGCTCTCTCTCTGTGTACGTCCTTACATGTCCACGAAAGGCTCTCCCACACTCCTTATGTTCATATACTTACTCTTGGGTGTGAGTCCCTTCAAGATTTTGTAAAGAACTAGTTTGGCCAAAGGCTCTTGTATCATGTTCACATGACAGGGCTTCTCTTCAGTGAGTCCCTTCAGCCTTTACAATAAACTGGAAGAAATAAATGCTTTCTAACCCTCTTACATTTCTAGGGCCCATCCCCAATCTGGATTACCATACATGACAGCACATCTGAGATAAATGCTGTTCCATATTCTTTACATTAATGGTGTTTATCTCTAGAATGTGTTTTCACATGTCTGTAAGAACTAGTTGGGAACCTGGAGGCTTTACCACATGCTTTACATTGCTATGGCTTCTTTTCACTATGAGAGCTTGTGTGATGTTGAAGGGATCTGGGATGACTATAGGTTTTCTCACTTTGCTTCCATTCATAGGGTCCCGCCCCCCGCCTTGAGTTTTTTCATGATGTCGAAGGTAAATTGGAGAAAGCTTTATCACAATGCTTACATTCATAGGGTTTCCCCCCAGGGCTCATTGCCTTGGGGAATGGTGCCCTTTCCAGGACTGTGCCCTGGCCTCTAAAGGCAGGGGAAACCTCCTACTTTACCTACAGTTTGTCATTTTCCTATTCTTGAAAAATCACGACCATGTATGCAAGGGTTTACTTCTGGGTTCTAGATTCTGTTCCATTCGTCTGTACACCAGACCATAGTTCTAATTACTATAGCTTTATACTAAGATTTTAGATTACAAAGTGTGATGCCTTCAAGTTATGTCTTTTTATTGAAGACAGCAAGTAACAGAATTTTGAGAAGGGCCTATATAAGACATGTAGAAATTTCTAATGTCCTGAAGACCACACAGTGTGCGGTGCCAGCACAGCCAAGTGTTCAGTGGGGGCGCAGGAAGGGGACGGGCGGGTTTGGAAGGATTAAAGACAAAGAATATACCTGGGGCTCAGTGGATCTCCTGTGCCTGGATGAGGCCACAAAGGATCCAGCCAGCAAGCTGAGGCTTTATTTTAGTCAGAGGTAAACAAGGTAGTGGTCACCATAGTTAGTGTTCTTGTGAGTTTCACTTCTTTTGGCAGCATTTGCTGCACCTCCCCCAGCCCATTAGCTACCTAGGAACATCTAGGGGGTGGCCATAAAGTCAAGCTTAATGATGCTATGAGGGCTCTGCCACAGGTCAATCCCGGGCTTAACTCTAGAGCCGCTCCCTACAACACAGAAGCATTATTTCCTCAGTATCATAACAGTCATGTCCAGAGCACAACTTATTTGCAATTTTAAACGTACTGCTAGCCCTGTTATTCATTACAATACATGAAAGTAAGTAGTGAGTCTGTGAGTGCTGATGCAAAGCCTGCTGAGAGTTGGAATCTCTGGATAATCTGGAAGGGAATTACTTTAGAGCAAATATTCAATATATACAAAACTTCCCCATTATTGAAATGGATGCCTGAAAGGACTTTCATCCATAAGGAAGGAATGTCAGTCTTTTTTTAAAAAAATGATCCTTGCCGAAACCGGTTTGGCTCAGTGCATAGAGCGTCGGCCTGCGGACTGAAGGGTCCCGGGTTCGATTCCGGTCAAGGGCATGTACCTGGGTTTCGGGCAAGCCCCCGGTGGGAGATGTGCAGGAGGCAGCTGATTGATGTTTCTAACTCTCTATCTCTCTCCCTTCCTCTCTGTAAAAAATCAATAAAATATATTTAAAAAAAAAATAAAAAAATAATAAAAAAAAAGATCCTTTATTGTTGAAAGTACTACATATGTCCCCTTTTCTCTCTCATCAATGCCCTCCAGTCTATCCCCACCCCCAGGCCTTCAGCACCCTATTGTCTGTGTTCATATATGCACACAATTCGTTTCAGGTAAGCCAAGTGTTATTACAAGAGTCAAGAGTTAACAAAAAAAAACTTATAAAGTAAAAAAGTTACAGTAATCTAAGTTTAACTTATTACAAATACTTTTGCCAAACCAGCATGGCTCAGTTGTTTCGATCTTTGAACCAGGCCAGGGTTTGATTCCCTGGTCAGGGCACATGCTCAGGATGAGGGTTCAATCCCCAATGCGTAGAAGGCAGCCAATTAATGATTCTCTCTCATCATTAAAGCTTCTCTCTCTCCCTCTCAGAAATGAATAAAAATATTTAAAAAATATACATTTAATAAATTTAGTTTAGCCTAAGTGCACAGTGTTTATATAGTTTATAGTAATGCCCTTTAGATTTTCACATTCACTCACCACTCACCTACAGCACCTTCCAGTCCTGTAAGCTCCATTCACAGTTAAGTGACCTTTAAAGGTATACCATTTTTTATCTTTCATACCATATTTTTACTGTGCCTTTACCATGTTCAGATGTTTAAATATACAGGTTCCACTGTGCTACAATTTCTTTCAGTACTCAGCACAGTAACATGCTACATAGATTTGTAGTCTAAGAAAAGACTATACCATATAGTGTAGGTATGCAGTAGGCTATGCCATCTAGGTTTGTGTAAGCCCACTCTATGATGTTTACACAATTACAAAATTGCCTGATAAAGAGACTCATACTTTTATTCACATATCATGAAAAGTAATTAAGAACTTTGAAAGAATACATTCAGCTACAAGTTAGAGGAAACCCCCAGTCTTCCAGGTAGGAAAAATGTGCTTATGCTCACATTTCACATATGAAAGGACCAGGTCAAAGCAGCCAGTGTACAATGCAGTGGAGAAACTAACTCCCATATCCTTCTTAGTGACTACACAATTGTAGATGTCACAAAGTGAATTGGGAACACACTAATTAGCTCTGTTGACAGTATAAGGTGTCTCCTGTACAAATGAGATCTTATATAATCTAAAGAGGGGAATTAGACATTATTCCAATATTAAAGTCTGAATCAGTTTCCTGGCTTACAGAAAAATGCTAACCCTGATGAATTATTGATGTGGGTCCTCTGGAAATTTCAGTGAAAATCTATTTCTCTTAAAAAAAAAAAAAAGCATATGAAAGAGTGGGAAGTTCTGAGGATACTCTTGATTGTAAGTGGAAACTCCAGAAAATGATATAAAACATTATCCACAGGGGAACACCCCAGCTCTAGATTTTTGTCCTTATTACAAATATTTCTTCTCACATCAAAGTCTATTAAGCAAATAGAAAAAAGAACAAAAAGTAAAACTCCAAATATTAAGAGAATCCACATAAAACTATATTATTGCATAAACTTGCTTTATTCAACTATTCCAACTGTTTATGTGTATAAAGTTCTTATACTTGTCACCCAACAGGGGAACTTTTGGTAGTCACTAAGGTGGAGTATATATAATGAACTAGGGATTTACAGGTACTGCTACAAGACCAGTAGAAAAATCCCAATAAATACCACAGTCAAATTTCAACGGCCTCTTAGCACAAGCTAAATAAAATATTTTAACAAATTAATCCTAATTGCATATTAGAAGTAAACTTTGCCCAACCAGTGTGGCTGGGTGGTTGAGTGTAGACCTATAAATCAGGTCATGGTTCAATTCCTGGTCAGGCCCCATGCCCGGGTTTTGGGCTTGATCCCCATTAGGGGGTATTGCAAGAGGTAGCCAATTAATGATTATCATCATTAATGTTTTTCTCTCTCTCCCTTCCTCTCTGAAATCAATAAAAATATATATTAAAAAAAAGAAAGAAATGTCTTTAACTCACCCATCAATCCCAATAGGCTTCAGAAACATGATAGTGGAAGAGATAGGGAGAAACAGCAATTGGTTGCCTCCTGCATGCATCTGACCGGCGCAGGGGAAATTGCAACCGAGATATTGACTCTGACCAGAATCAAACCCAGGTCTCTTCAGTGTTCAGGCTGACCCTCTATCCACTGAGCCAACCTGGCTAGGGCGACACATTTGTTAATGACTTGTGCTGTTGGCCGGAACACTATACTACACATGAATTTCCATTAAGCTTTCCTTATGTACATTCATAGAGTTCCTTCCCAGTGTGCAGTCTCATGTGCCGTTTTAAGGTTCCGTAACGACGAAAGCCTCTACCACATTCCTTGCATGAATAGCGTTTCTCTCCAGTATGAACTCTCTCATGTAATAGAAAGGAAGAGTGATAACTGAAGGCTTTCCCACATTCCTTACATTCATAAGGTTTCTCCCCAGTATGAGTTTTTTCATGATTTTGGTAAGAACTGGAACAATTGAAAGCTTTACCACATTGCTTACATTCATACGGTTTCTCTCCTGTGTGAGTTGTTTTATGTTTTTGGAAGCCTTGAAAATATTTAAAGATTTTTCCACATTGTTTACATTGATACCATTTCTCTCCAGTATGAATCTGTTCATGTTTGTGAGCAAACTGGGGATGCCTAAAGGATTCCCCACATTCCTTACATTTGTAAGATTTCTCTACACGTTTATAAAAAAAATGGCGATAACTGGTTTTACCACATGTCCTAAATGTATAAGGCTTCTCTCTGTATTTGTCATATTCAGATGGTTTGTGTCCAGTGTGACGTCTGATGTGCCTATCAAGGGGTGAACGATGCCTGAAGACTTTTCCACATGTACTGCATGCATGTGGTTTCACTGCAGGGGTCTTCTTGTTCAAAGTCATTTCTGAAATAAGATTGGAGTTGTCTTCACGTTGACTACCCTCTTTAGCTTCACAGAGTCTCTCCGCCGTATGATTTCTGTAAAACACAAGAAGTACGGTATTAATGATTCCTTTATTAGCAATTTTGTTTATTAGGGTATTTGAACTGCATTTTTATGGTTTATATCAAAGGGGTAGGGTTTTTGCCCTGGCCAGAGTGGTTCAGTTGGTTGGAGTGTGTGCAGGAGGCAACTGATTGATGTTTCTCTCTCTCTAAAATCAATAATAGTAAGTTAGAGAGGGGTAGGTTTTCTGCTTTGTTTGATTTGTTTAAAGTTCAATATAAGAAATGTTCTCAATGGGGTTAAAAGGGAGACATATGTAATACTTTCAACAATAAAGAATTGAAAAATGAAACATTGCTCTGCAAGAGGATTTCACCCTTCCTATTACTAAAACAGCAATAATCATATATAAAATTTAACAATACTGTTTTGAAGTAAGCTACTTCACAAACACTGAACATCCATGTCTAATAAAAAGGTAATTTTGGTGAAAATGTTCTGTAAGTAAAAATTGAAGCAGGGATTATTTCCTTTTTAAAAAATTTCATGACATAATCAAATCTTCAAATCAACCACTACTTTCTATTATAAATAGGACTCACCTTAGTTTTCTCCCCTGGTTTTTATACAATTCTTCAATGTCATGATCATCCCATTTCTTCCCTGAGATGCAAACAAAACAAATCCAAAATATTTATATTAGAGAAACATTAGATTATTGGTCCTTTTTTTTTTTTTTAGCTGTGACCATGCCTAGTTTATTTACCAATGTCCTATCTTTTCACAATCCAAATCTTGGGGGTAAAAAGCAATGACCAAGAAACACGTACCTATAATTGATGAAATGAAAATACATCCTTACCTATTGAGGCCAGGTTCTTGAAAGTTTGTCGCATTACATCTCTGTAAAGTTTCTTCTGTGAAGAATCCAATAAGGCCCACTCTTCTAGGGTGAAGGTTACAATCACATCCTCAATGGCCACTGAGTCCTAAAACATCCCAAATATGTATTAGGATGTGTGAGACTGACAGCCCTGGATACCCAGACTCCATTTATAGGAAGGTGACACATGATTCTGTTGTCTCCAGATATTTATTCTGACTGATCATCCTAAATTTACTCCCTTGTCCACTTACTTCACGGAAATTATTTGTGCACTCTTACTGTTATAACATTACATGTTACTGCTCTGCAACGGCAGAGTTCACAGCATGTTGAGAAATAACAGAATGCTTTAAAAATACACACACACATATATTTTTACTTTTTGTAATTGTGATTCGCATTTTTTAAAATATATTTTTATTACTTTCAGAGAGGGAGAGTGATAAAAACATCAATGATAAGAATCATCAATCCGCTACCAGTCTCCTGCATGCCCCACACTGGGGATTGAGCCCGAAACCCAGGCAGGTGCCCTTGACCAGAATTGAACCTGGGACCCTTCAGTCCGCAGGCTGACGCTCTATCCACTGAATCAAACCAGCTACGGCTAAC